ATTTGTGGTTTACTGTGTGTTGTTATTTATATACAAATTTCTCTCTCTCTCTCTCTCTCTCTCTCTCTCTCTCTCTCTCTCTCTCTCTCTCTCTCTCTCTCTCTCTCTCTCTCTCTCTCTCTTTCTATATATATCCCTGACTAACGATTCACATAGTCGAATCACAATTGTCAATCTTGCCCATAGCCTCTATTCGTTAGTCACTGTAACTTACACTGTACATTTAACGTTACAGATAAACTGAGGCTTATTGTTGATCATTTCCTCTCTGCTCTGCTCGCCTGCCATTCACCGGTCTTGTGCTGAGTTTTGCCGACAAATATATGCACGCCTCTTTGCCACATCATAGATTTCAGGGCAACGCACACGTGCACGCTACGCCTACACATGCATACTGACCCTCCTTCTTTAAGGGTAATTTTGAATTTATTCACGCACTTTTAAAACATTTATTAAAAGCTTTTCATATGTGTATTAACAGCATTTTATTTTGAAAATTATATTGTAATAGGTTGTATATTAACTTATTGGGAGAAAACTGGTAGTTCTATGTAAAATCAGATGTTGAGCACTCCCATATTGCCAAAATGGCGTGATCCTCGTTTTTCTGTGAGGCTTCGACTCTGAGATTGACAGTTGTTTCAAGCTCCGCCCATCGAAGCATCGAACCTTTGACTATGCGGGGTCAGCCCTAATATATACGTATATCTGTAAAAATGCAATAATGATAATTTAGCACAGCTCAATGTGATATCTTTGAATTGTTAGTATAGCAGCAAAAAGCTCTAACCTCCTGTAAAAAACTATCCAATAAAAAATATATGTAACAGAGAAAAGCAAATCCAGGTCTGAGATTTTTGTATTCTTTGTTTTTAGTCATTCATCAAAAAACAATCCTGATACCTAAGCTGCTGATTCACTTCAAGATCTACTTGAAATAGTACACTTCAATAAAAAGTAGATCTCAATAAAGAAGAAATATGACTTTATGATCTTGAATAAAAAGAAAGGAAGCTCAAATCACAGAATACTGTTTTTATTACGATCCGGTTTGTCATCTTAACAGCTGGTGTTCAGGAACAGACACACACACAGGTCTAAACCGCCATCGTCTTACCTACAGATTTCACCTCTGTTGGGCCTTTTTGTTATTGTAAAGAAAGGCAGAAAGTTGAGTGTGTTCTGAAACTGTTCATGATCTACCACAGATTTGGAGTTGTTTAAGTGTAAACAAAATGGACTTAGGTTTTATTTATTTTTAACGCCCAACATTTTTATCCAAATAAAGGACGAGCCATGTGCAGAGTCCTTCAGCTGTGTGACTCAGCATCTGTGCTTTTTGTCTTCCCTTTGTGTCAGAAAGTATTGAGGCTGCAGTTGAAAGGATGAATTTAATAACATTTTAGGTGCAGATTCAGGAGGCTCATCCAGCAGAGACATTAGGGATTGTCCTAAATGACCCAAACTGTGTTGTGAGCTGTTATCTGTACTCATTAAAACACCCTCATCACCTCGTCTGGTGTAGAGGTGCTGCATTTGGGGAAAAGTCAGACAGCCAGTTGTATAAAATGAATGCCTGTGAGATTCCTCAGGTGCAGCAATTTCTGTAGTACAAGTATTTCAATTACATGAATTCATATTTTTATATTATACAGATAGATGCAGCGGGGATATAATGAATCATATCACTGTTTTATCTTGGAATGGGAGCTGAAAGCACTAGGGGTAGTGAGCTGTGTGGTAGATGCGTATACAATGATGGGGCTGTATCAGACAGGAATAGACAGGCTTATTAGAGTTAAGTGCTTTCTGCCATATTATGCTGCGTACACTTAGCCAGTCAAACCCTGCATGAAATCTCCTAAACTGCCACTGTAATCATCTCCGTGGAGGTCAATCATGCAATCCATCAGGCTTACCAGCGTTTAAATCTTGCATGTGTAGCACAGTCAACATTACAGCAGATTTCAACACACCCATTAAACAACCCATAAAACTCTGACACATAAACATTCAGGCACTTTGAGACTTGAGAATAATGGTGGAAGTGCTTCAGCTTTCTCTACAGTTCTGTATGAAAATATATTTCAAGAACTGGTGTGTGTGTGTATGTGTGTGCGTTTCCTGTTTTTTGTTGAAGGTATCGGTTTTTAAGTACAGTGGTTAGAATATGCACTCCTTTTGTAGCAAGAAACTTTTATTCCCCGTTGATTGAGCTAAAGGTAAAATGTGGAGTTTTCCTTGTAAAAAAAAAAAACTTATTAAAAAGTTGGGAAGACTAAATCTTATCAACTTTGTAATAAGTTTTTCATTCAGGGTTTCTTACCGAATTCATTAAATTTTAGGTCACTTCACCCGTTCTGTCTGATGTCATCTTAATGTTGACTAATTTCTTGTTGAATTATTTTATATTGTTTTATTATTTTATTGTTACAGCAATTATTATACTGTATATGGTGGAAGATGCAGTAGCATTTTAGTTACTATGACAGCTTAATATTTTTCAGCACCATGGAATATATAGGCCAATTTAGGAGTTGTTATCTCTGAAAGGGGATTTAGAAAAACCTGGGCTGCTGCTTCATCCATCCTTGTCACATCCTCTTTATGTAGGAAAATTATGTCCCCATTCCTAATCCCGCCCACAAAGCTCTGATTAGTTGATTGTTTCTTCAGTTCTGGGAAATATGAAATTTTATTCAAAAATAATGAATAAAATCAATGAGCACAACAGCAGACCTTTGTGACTCCTTGAACAAACCGGAGATGTTTGGAAACATTGGCTTCAATACGGGGACTGTGTGTGTGTGTGTGTGTGTGTGTGTGTGTGTGTTATGATCTCAAGTTAAAAGCTGTATTGAGCTGTCTTATCATTCACCAGCCTATATGTCCACCTATCTAACGATCATCATATGGAATTGTGTACACCAAACAATTAGTTTACTTATTGCCACTTTAACCTGAGCTTTGTGCTCTCAGTTTTGTTAATGTTAATATATTACCACTACTACTACTACTACTACTAATAATAATAATAAGGTCGTAGGACTGATAAACAGAAGATATTAAAGGTTGACATTAGCTATACAAACAAAAGGGTTAAGGATCCTCTTTCTTTCTCTTTATCACATTGTTACTCTCTCACAGTCTCAACTGAAGAACAGCACTTTTTAATGCTGTTATAAACCTATGGAGAGTGTGTTACTTCACTTCTTTAATGTGAACTGGAGTCTTAAAATCCTTTTTTACAAGGGGAAAACTGGATCCATATTAAGCAAGTCCAGAATGGCACTTGTGATCTACTGACGGGTACAACGCAGGGATATTGACAAATTGACAGGAAGTGCCAGCAAGCAGTTGGTAAAACATGACAGATAAACTTCAAAAAAGCATCTACACTACATTCAGATTTTATTTAGAGGCAACTGAATCCAAACATGGCAAGTGATGAACACAATCAGACCTTTTCTTTATGTCAGTGTTATATCACACTGCAGCTATTGTGATACCAGTGCTGCCAGAATACCTGCAGATGCATTAGTCATCTAAATGTTCTTTTAGTGTTTGCTGGAGGTGGTGAAGTAAATAAACTTGTCAGTTTGTTTGAACAAAGTATTGTCTTATTGCTGTTGCAATCTGTCTTAAGTTTCCATTTCTCACATCCTTGCACTGAGCACATTTCCCACAAGCATCAATACCTGGAACCACAATTTAATTTGAGCAAAAAAGGTGAATCTTGCAACAGCTTAGGGTGGATGGTTCTATGACTTAGGATCACAACCCAGATGCTTTTCTGCATGTAATTGTTAGCTAGTTCAGCACTGCTGAACATCCATTTCAGAACCGGAATAATGCGTCACCTGGCAAGACACACAAACTAGCCAACTCAACAATAGACACACAGACGGTACTTGGAGCTAACGTCTCACCAGGCTGTCTTGACAGGTGGTTCTGAATGACTCAATTACATCCCACTAATTCAGAATATCGTCAACATGCAGAGGACTGTGGGAGAGGGATGTAGGTAGTCACCTGGTTACATGTATGAAGATGAACACCGGAGTCCTGCAATTACATAAAAACAACTTGATCAACTTTTTACACCTGCTTTGGATTTGATATGCAAACAATATGTTTCCATACTGTTTGGCTGTGGTGGCCTCCTGCTGTGCTGACAGTGCTCACAGCTCCATCAGAGGTGGTGGAGACGATTGAAGCTGTCTCAGTCTGTAATTTGGTCTGTAAACTGACAATGAGTGTGGAAATTCTCCTCATCGTTAGTGTGTGAATCATTGAATTGGAGAGGATGGGAATGCCTGCTCTTTTAGTATAATTCTTAGGTGGCAAGGTGTGGAAGAGTAATTCGAATAGTGGACTTCCCCTGCAGTCAACACCAGGATCTGACCACTCCAGTCACAATTTCTAAACTGTTGGCCACGACGCAGCTTCACTACAACACTCGGTCTGGGTTAAGTGCCTCGCTCAAATGAATTTTATGGTCATTCAATTTTTCCTGCAGATTTTAAATGATACTGGATATTGAACCTCAATATGTTTTGGAGACTGACTAAATTGCGTTGTATCAGTGATTGTAGTACTGAAAGCTGGCACGTAATGCTTGGCATTAAGTCTAAAACATCTAGTTTGGCGGTCATAGCAAAAAAATGCTGTGTTCATTGAACCCACAAATGAATATTAACCAGATCCAGAATGCAGTGTATACAAAGCTATTACAGTGAGAAATCATTATTTTATCATATTAAACAACCATTCTAGTTTCTTTGTTCAGCACGACCCCCACGTAACAGTGAAAAAAAGTGTGTAACTGAACATTTCATTTCGTCATATTCTGAGGCTGTCCTTTGGCTGAAAAACTTTTTTTCTGCCTCCAGACATCAAATGGACTGACCCATCTTCAGATATTCGAGAGGCTGTGGCAATGTCAGTCTAGCGTCATCCCCCAAAGTATTAATATCTCTCTGTCTGTGTTCTCTCTGCAGTATGAGTTCAAGGTGAAAAACATCAAGAAGAAAAAAGTCAACATCGTGGTGTCTGTAGACGGCGTGAAAGTCAACTTGAGGAAGAAGAAAAAAGTGAGTGACCTTTTTATTTTTTATTTTTTTATTTTTTTATTGGAATCTTCTCCAAATCAAAAGCAACTGATAGATTAGGATCCCAGCAGGGGTATGCTGCCATGAAGAAGAAAATCTGAATCATTTTGATTTGCTCTCTTTTTCATCTTAACAACGTATCGACGTTTATCGTAACGACATGCTGACGTCATCTGATTCAACAAGCTGATTTGGTATTATGAGGAGAAACATTTCTTTTTAAAACAAGTGGTCTGAGTGACTAGTTATACGTCATAACTATATGAAAAATATAATCTAACAATCTCTTTCATGATGAGAAACTGTGCTCATTATTTTTCTATATGGAGGTGGCAATCTGCTGCTGGCACATTAAGCTGATAAGGCTGCGTGTGTTTGATGAGATGAAGCCACTGTAGTCTAGTGAACAGTGCGTGGATTCTACTTTATCTGGCCTGTCCCTGCCATGTAGCTCTTTAGGTGCCCTCAGATACCAGGCTGATTAGTGAGAGGGCTTTCAGTTTCTATTTGCTGACAGTTTCTATTTGCTGACACTATGATACTGGACTTCTTATAGAATTACTACTTTTTGGACATGTAGGCCAAAAATATGGTGTTTATTACCATCAGCCAACCAATCACACGAGTGTAAGAATAAAATATGTGATGGGTTAAAGAATCAGACCAGATCCATTTTCTGTATCCTGCATGTGGCAGGAGGTGGTGATCAATCCTTGTCTTAATTAGAAGAGACAGACAGGTAAGAATGGAGACATTGCAAGGGAGGACAAAGGGCCTGAGAAGAATCGAAAATTTGGGGGAGGATGAAGAATATTATTATTTATTTATTTTTGTCCTAAGTGGGCAATTTGTGCTGCGGCAAGAATAAAAACACAACACAAAACATAAGAAACATACAAAATGGCCTAGAAACATAGAGCAGTTGGCCTGAACATGTGCACAGGATGGTTTATACCAGTGCACAGAGAGTCATTTAAGGTCCTCTGGAGCAGACTACCATAGAAGAAACCTGAAGGAACTGGAGGAGGTTGTACTGAGACTGGAGACAATTGGATCTGTGTTTGCAGGTGAGGCTGACAGCTCTAATCCACAGAAACAGACTTGAGTCGACTTCACTCGCTGACAATCCCAGAGTCTGACAGGTGGAAAACCAATGTAAAGGTATAAAGGGAACTTAATTTAGTGCCGTCTATTCTCCTCACCTGCATTCAGATTTTAATCTCAATTTATTAACCCAGACTGAAAACCATTCACAGTTTTTTAAGGTTCCCGGAGTGACTGCCAGCTTTCATCTTGTGTTTAAACTACTGCTCTATTCAGACAGATTATTGTCTGACAGATTATTATTAAGGCCAGAGACACTGATTGAATTGATAGGGAGACTAGGTAAATCAAAAATCTGATTGGCATGGTCAGAATTTCTAATCTGATTTTCTTTTTTTTTCTCCATCAACTCAGAAGTCAGATTTCCCTGGTTTCTTCTAAATTAATAGATTTCTGATGACTTGTTGATCTTTTAGAGTGCGTGGAGCTGAGATGCAGACAGTCATCTCTCTAAAAAAACATATATCAAATTTTTATAAGCATCTACTAGAATATGCAATTTCAGTTTCAATAATGGCATCTGTTGAAAGCGGGGGCGGAGCTACACTCTCAGCACGTTGGGGGCCGAGCTTCATCACGGGGCCCACCTGCAACAAAGTCATTTATACCAAGTTTACATGACCCCGGACTCATTCTGAAAGTCCACTGAGTCCGTCTGCGTCGCAGCCGCTCTAGTCAGTGCTGGTGCTCACACCAGAAGTGTCTCCGCTCCTCTCTGGAGAGAATAAAGAAACAAGAAAAAATTTAACAACGTAGCCAACTTAATCATAGCAGAAGCACAAAAAGCAAGCGCATATCACCAAATCAACAAACTCTAAACATGTCCGCAAAATCAGGCTGGCAAAACGCTCTTATTCTGAAATGTGAGAATTCCCATGATGCATGGCGGTGAAGAAAGTTGTGTTTAAAAATAGCTAATATGTCTCATATTTGAAATACAAAATTTACTTTGTGAATTATGTTTTTTTTGAACGTGTCTGCTTATAATATGTTTTTTGTTGGTAATTGTCATTCTTGTGGTGGTTTACTATCGAAACCAGGAGTGAAGTGCCTGTTTCATTTGATAAGAACGGCTGCAATAATCTGGTGTATGGTGGTGGTTGCCTGCATGCAGTTCTCTTTTGCGGTTGTGTCTACAAGCAACTTACAACACATTCGCATCCCACATAGCGGGGACCCTACCTAGGCAAGATCCTGGGTCGGCCGCCCCCATACACCCACGCTATCTCTGCTTATGATTTGAAAGGCTTATCAAACAGTCATGAAATAAATTACTATACTCAAAAACTCAAAACTCCTAAAACGGCAAATTTGAATATGTAGGATTTCTCTATTGTAGGGATGTAAGCAAGAGAGATGTCTTGACCTTGACTTGTTCTTACATCGCACATATGTTGGTGTCTCATTAGAAGGAGGCTTAATTGAGTTTTCTAAATTGTCCTCTAAAGAGCAGCTTAATAACACCAATGTTCACTTGAGGAAGTGTGTGCGTGTGCGTGTCTCTTTGCATATCCATATGTTTTTGTGTGTGAGCAGTAATGTGTGTGGATGGTGCATAGTTTGGAAAATTTGTGGAATATTACTATGGTCGTATACCATTACCTTATCAGATGTTTTTGTATCAGACCTGGCTGGTAGCTGATGGTATGTGTTACACTCTTAAATCTGATTTCATAGCTGTTTTATAGACTTTTAATGTTGGTGTAGTCAAGGTGGAACCTCTACCTTATCAGAAATGGTTGATATTTGATTACTAATAACTGATGTTAATTAAAAGATCAGTATCAACCATAGACCATACATCAGCAAACTATACTCTCACTCAGCTGTTGATTGGGGAAAATGCTTTATGGAGTGAGATGAAGAGTGTGTACTGTAAAGTGCAGATATAACACGACCGTTTATTGCTACTATTTCAAACCGGCTGATCGTAAATTGGTTTCACATCCCACTGCTGCCAGTGATAGCGATCTCTCTGTATTTGGTTCTGCTTGGTTCAGTACTTTTTGAATTTGATAGTTTTTTCATGTGTGGCTCTGACTAGCTTTTTCACCAGAGCAATGGTGCGTAAGATACGTGGGTTTTGTAGTTTTGGCCATTTGCCAAGTTAAAATAATTAAAACTGAACGTAATTACGTAAACATCCTATGTTGGGAGTTTACGCTGGGGATAGTTAAGGAACCAGATATTCCTCCTGATGGGGTGTTTTTTTATTTATGCCTCTTGAGGTCAGGTAGGCTTTCTACATGTACATTTCAGGTCGGGTCCAAAATTTTGAAGCCATGAAAATCTCTACTTCTAAAAAAATAAACAAACCAAGAGAGAGGAGATGTGATGGAAGTGATATGAATTAACATCTGGTCGATAGAAGGATATTTTGCCTCCACCTGTTTTCTTGTCTTGTTTGGCTCCCTGGTCTGAAAGCTGAAATGTCAAGTGTGACGGTCAGCAATCTTTTTGCATCTCTGAGTACGTCGGAGGCAATAAAGACCGGAGACAGAAGTGATTGAATGACTGAGTCAACAAAGGTCTGTGGAGATATAAATCAATATGAATAATTCCTCATGGGTTGACATTTTAATTGTGACATTAAACTAGAAGGTAGATTTAGTCAAATGGACAGACAGACAAAAAGAGAAAAGTAAAAATATAAATAAATTTCTAAAAGATGGAGATGTTATAATTAAATATACATCAATAGATGCAGTTTACTGATTATGATACAAGGGACAGAAATTTATTTATATATTATTTTTAGTTGAATTAACTGTCCAATTAAGGTGTCTCCCTTCCTACAGACCTTAGCTTTATGTACTGTTTTTGTTTATTTCCACAGAAGAAGGAGTGGACGTGGGATGAGAGCAAGATGATGGTGATGCAGGATCCTATTTACAGGTAAGCTGGCCACAAGCTTTCATTTCTACATAACTTTTCCTTTCTGGAGCTCAAGATGAAATGCTAATTTACTTTGTTTTTATTCTTATTGTAATGACTTCCATCCATGAGGCTCATTCCAGACAAATTTTAATACAAACTTGATTAAGTGCACTGTTGTGGCTCAGGAAATGAGAATCTTTTGTCTCCATCACTGCAAGCGTTGACATTTTGGAGAAAGAAGGATATTGTAACTCATCAACTTTTACTGACTCCAAAAGAGCAGCACAAAGGGTTTGGAAAAATAAATGAGTTATTAGGAAGTGTTAGTGCATAAACATGGTATATTTAGAGTAGAGGACCACTGATAACAAGTAATACTGAAATGGGACAGCAAAAAGAGGGAAGTCACAGATGGGTTTTTGACTATGGCTGAACAATACAATGCATTTTAATAATGCATGTAATACAAGTTAATATATTTTTACATAATAAAAACAAGCCCTGAAATGTAATCATCATAATATTGACATTAGCGATGTCACAATTAGCAGTCAATACCAATACGGGTTCAAATTCCACGATTCTCAAGACACAATTCGATAACAATTTGGTTTCTAAAAAAACAAAAAACAAACAAAATCCCATGACCAACTTCAACATACACTCTCTTAATAAAAATATTTGAACATTACAAAAACGCTGTGAAAGTTATGAGAGTATGTGCAGGACAGATGAGAGGTGGTTTGATATCAATATATTCATAAATGAGCAAGCTATTGAAATTGCAACTTTGCTTATTAATTATTTTATTAATTAATATTACAAACTCACAGGTGTGGGATGTTTAAGGGTGCTCACTATCTATATTGTCAATGGTTTGAGATTTCTATGTTGCAAAAAAAGTTATTCATGATTGAAATGGATAGTATTGCACTTTTTAGAAGTAAGAGTAACTCTTTGGTGCTTTGGACAGACATTCAGGTGCAACAACCGATATGAAATGTTAAATATAAAACCAAATTCACCCTGGTTTCCATACATGACAGCGGACCTGTACTTGTTGCCATCTTCCATGTGTTAGATGCCTGGTTTTCAGAATTTAGGCAACGATTTGGTACCGAAGTATCTGTTCTCGTGACATCCATAATTGACGCATTATTATTATTATTATTCTTTATCACATCCACTGTTTTTTGTTCAACCATTAAACCACCATAAAAGTTCAGAATTTAACATCTCCCCTCTCTTGAGATGTTAAAATCTGAGAGTTAGTTAACCCAGTATCCCTTTTAACAGGCTAATACTGTTCTCAACCAATGTATCACACTTTTCTACAGAAGTCGTCTGCTTTTGTTTGTAACAACACAGTTCTGTCAAAATCACACAACAACCCGAGTAGTTTCATGGTGGCAGCTTTAACTGAAGCATGTCGTTTTGCTCCAAATGGTTTTGATCAAAGCGCTTTGACCCCACCCTGTCTTATCCTCTGTGGTTGTGGAGGTAGTTAGGTTTGGGTGGGGGCTCTCTGACTGCTCCTTGATGTGCATGTGTGGGGGTGGTGTGAAATCCTCAGTCTCTGGCCATTCTTAGATGAAAACCTGACTGTCTGCTGCTTGAAAGTAGTAAACATTCAGCTTACAATGAAAGCTATCCTGTAATCTTATTGAACAACTTGACTAACTTAGCTGGTGAGCCTGCAGCATTTTCACCTTGCGTACGCATAGCATCCCCTATTTCTTTCTCTTTTGGTAAGTTTCTTCCATTGTTTCATGTTGATCCATTATTAGTGAGATCTTCAGTGACATGCCTACACTCTGTTCCACCTTACAGGTTGTTACCATAACATTTACATTTATTCATTTAGCCATCTGCATCTTTATCCAAAGCAACTTACAATTGCTATATATTTCAGAGGTCGCACACCTCTGGGGTTAAAACAACTAGGGGTTAAGTGTCTTGCTCAGGGACACAATGGTGTCTCACAGTGGATCCGAACCCAGGTCTCTCACACCAAAGGCACGCGTCTTATCCACTGCTCCATCACCACCCACCATAAGAGTCAGTTCATTCAGTCCATTTGCTGCAGGGGAGTATGGGCAATTTTTTGATCTGAAGTCATTTTGTCTGCTGCATAGACATGGGATGCACGCATAAACACACACACACGCAGTCTCTCACACACACACACACACACACACACACACAGTTGCATAATGCTGAGAGGCAGCTGAATTGGTGGCTATGCACCATTAATCTCTCTTTCTCATAGATACACCCACTCTACATGCAGTCTCATAGAAGTTTGGTGAAACCACTGAAACCAAATTATGTTCTATAGAGAAGTAGAAAGAAAGCTGAAGTCTGGTTTTGCCACAGAGACACACAGTTCATATTCTGTAATGAATGAATCATATCCTCTCTTTCTCCCTAGCCTACTCACACACACACACACACACACACACACACACACACACACACACACACACACACACACAGAGGCTCTTACTCTTACTCCCAGGCGGGCACAGCTCAGAAGTGCATCCAGGAGCCCAGTTGGGGCTTTGGGCTTTGGAAATGATTCTGTCAGAAAGATGGATTTTGCCTGCCTGTTTGTGTAAGCATCTTTGAGCTTAGAAATTCTGAAAGATTTTGTTTGGTTGGAGATGCCTTAGCTTGTCCCGCTCATCTGAGACTTATGCACAGTTTTTGATATTACAGTCACAAAGTTTCCCCACAGGAGGTTGGTGGTTGGATGGGGGGTAAAGCAAAGGACCATGGGTGAGCCTCATCGATCAGTCGCTGTCATCTGCTGAGAGACGTCAGCATCTGAAAAGACATCTAGGCTGGTCGAAACTGCCTACTATACTAGTAGTACATGCTGATTTGGTCTAAATGTAGTGTGTAGTATGCAGTATGCAAACAAAAGCAAAATCTGTAATATGCCAAAAATCAATCTCACTGTTTCATACTGCATACTACAAACTGTATGCAGTATACAGTTACATACTGCGGTTGCCAGTAGTATGTGGTATGCGGTTCTGAATACAGCCGTAGTCTTTTCTGTTCAGTGTAGTCACAAGATGATGGCTTAAACAGTAGCCTCGCTTATTAAAGATATGGCCTTTGCTTTGTGAAAAAGCATCTATGCTCTTTTTACCTGAATTTAAAAGTAAAAGTTTTGATGTAAGTGCATTAAGTGGAGGCTAAACAATTCTGATAATCTTAATACTTTTACTTTAATTATCTTAATTTAGTTGAGATTTGGTATTGATAGTCTCAGCCTTTTGAAAAGCACTCACTTCTGTTAGTAGTTTGTGAAGTGTTCAAGTTTTAGCCACAGTTTTGAGCACCTGCAATTGTCTGCCATATTGTAAACATAATACACATGCGCTGACATATGTGTAATCATTGGGGAATCTGTATCATTGAAGACAATAAAAAGGCATGTAATTTAAAGGTTAGGTTTACTCACACTCACATGCCATGCATGTTGAAAGAGTTGTTTGTTGCAGACACTGTTTTTTTGAGCTGCAGCAGGGGAAAATGTCCTGTCAGTCACGTGTGCGTTTCTTAATGGTGCTTTGTTTCTGCAACAAACCTGCTAGACGTGACTGCCAGGACACATCTATTAGCTGCAGCTCAGCCCGTGCAAACAGAACAATTAATACATAGTAAGTATCCTCCTTATAAATTATGGAACTGATTTAAATTCAGATCAGGGTCTCAGTACCCGGTCCTACCAGAAGCAGGTGTTAATTCAGCAGGTGGCCCACCTCTGCTGTGAACAGCTGTGGAAAGCCCTGAGGCATACCAGATGAGAGTAGCAGTCCATCTATTGACCATGTTCTATTATCATTCAGTTTAGCCCTGACTAATTAAATAAAAATAATAATCGGCCACATTCTTACATGAGTACATGTTACATTTCAAATCTATACGTCCAACAGGTCAATTCACAACTGTTGGGACAATACTGGGATATCTATGTCCTTGGCTTCTTTCAAAGTTATCTCACACTGGAAGTTAATTTGTTATCACTATGCAAGGAGTGCAGTTTATATCTCTCTGCTAGAGCATTGCGCATCTGAATTTTATTTGAAAAGTGACTCCATGCAGTGTGTCTAGTTATAAAGGAGAAGAGAGAGATTAGGCTATAAAAGTAAATGTGGGAAAGATTTAGCACGTGAATCAGCCTCATATTGTTAAATTGTAAATTAGAAGGCTTTATTGGCCACTGGATAACCCCATGTGGGAAAACATGGCGTGAATATAACCTTTAGGTGATGTGTGCTCCGTACGCTGAAGTGATACATATTCACATCTAGCTTTTCAAATGCAGGGACTCAAAATACACATCAAAGACCCTCAACTGGGGGTGGGTTTTTCAGATTCACAGAGGCTGGACGCTGTGTGTCTAAATCATTTGGGAGGATTTAGTTGAGCGCTTTGCATTTCTTGTGTGCATTCCTTTTCATCTTCAGCTGCTTTCTAGCTGGAGCTGCTGGCTCACTGCCACTGAGGCTGTCCACCACCTTGTATGTAACATCAGCACTGGCAGGACTGGTATGGCAGCATTACACTTAATCACATTTACACATTTACATGTCCAAGGATACTTGTGGTGATGTTCCACCATATTTCCTAACTGTAAATGTGATGTAACCACTTGACAACAACAAATAAACAAATATATATTATTGTAAGTCGCTAGGGTCTAAAACGTTGTGTTACTCATAAGGATAGATTAACAAAGCATAGATGCACAAACATCAACATATATGCAAGAATACATAAGAAGTGCTTTTCAGAAACATACACACAGACAGACAACATCACACTCATACGTATTCACAAGTGTGCACACACTCTTGAATGATTATAAATACTGTCCTATAAAACAAGCCACATTGACACAAACGAGCAAACTAGAAGACGGTTTACAACTTTTCCCAATCATGTACAGCTCCATGCTGCACTGTAACTATAAAAAAACATTTATACAGTCACCACCACCTTCT